TTTAACTTTTTTTTTTTTTTTTCTAAACTTTTCCAAGGTAATTCTTACTTGTTTTTCATTTTCGCCCCCGCTTTAAAAAAAGGGAAGGAGGGAAAAAGGAAAGAGGGAATGTACAAAAAAACGGAAACGAGTGAAAAAGGCGCGAAAATTTAAATTTTTTTTTTTCTTTCTAAATTTAATTATTATATTTACATTTTGATTATCGTTCATTAGCAGACGTTTTTTTTTCTCTCTCTCTCTCTGTCTTCCTCCCCCCTCTTCTCTGTTTCCCCCCTCTCTCTCTCTCTCTCTCTCTCTCTTTGCCTCCACTTTTTTTGCCGATGGAAAAAAACATGTCCGTTATTTTGTTTTCGACTCCCTTTTTGTCCTTCTTTCTCTCTCTCTCGTTTTTTTTTGTTTTGTTTTTTGTTTGTTTGTTCCCCCCCTCTAAAAATTTTCGATTCATTAATTTGTAAGGGGGGAAGGGGGAGGAAGGGAAAGGTCGGGCCGGAACCGGAGCATCAAATGATTAATAGTGAAAAAAAAAAAAAAACAACAATAATTGTTAAATAAAAGTCGACCGAAAAAAAAAAAAAAAATTATTTGACACATTCGTTTATTTATTTATTTATTTATTTTTTGCAAACGATTTTTCGTGCGTGCGTGCGTGCGTGAGTGCGTGTGCACGTGCGTGTGTTTGAATACTTGAAACCAACCGACATCATCGTCCGGACTTTGTTTTATTCTTCTTTTACCACGAAAGAAGTTAAAAAACAAAAAGAGGGATAAATAAAAGTCACGTTCGATCATTCAATATACAAAACCGGAAACGGAAAAGGGGAGGTGAGGACGCGAAAGGGAAAATAAGGGAAAAAGATGTTTTTTATTTACACTTTTATTTTATTTTTCTTTCTCGATCGAAAGTTTTACTAGTTTAGTAATAGTTTGTGTGTGAGTGTCGGTGACCGGAAAACCTCGGAAAAACCCTAGGAAAAGTTTCTTTGAAGTTTTTTTTTTTGGGTGGGGGGGTAAAGGGTTTTTTTATTGACTCATCGTCGTGAATGCGATCGGAGAAAGCTTTTCCACAGGATTTTAATTATAAACTTTTTTATGCTTTCCACAAAAAGAAAAAAGGAAAAAAGTTTTTTCTGAGCGGTTTTTAAATACAAAAAAAAAGGAAAGATTTGAAGAAAATTTTCCGATTCGTGTATTCCCTTCTCCTACCCACTCCTTCCTCTCCCTCCTTCACCACCTCCTGCTACTACCCGAGATTTTATTATCATTATTATTCTAGAAAATTATAATTTATGTATTTTTAAAAAAATTAAAAAATTAAAATCGTTGTAAAATAATGTTAAATAAAATAATGAAATAGTTAGTTTTATATTAGGGGGAGTGGGGGGAGGGGAGTGAGTCGGTAAAGAGGGGGCGGGAAACCACGAGCGAATGAAAATCATCAAGGGAAAATTTTTTTAAAAGAGGAAAAAAAGTTTTCTTTTTTCTTTCCTTTTTCTTTTCCTTTTTCTTCTTCTTCTTTAAAAAAGTAAGAAAAAAAATGAAAAATAAAACTTTTTTTTTCTTTTTTTTTTCATTTTTCCTTTTTCTCGGGAACGAACGATTACTTTTTTTTCTTTTTTTTCCTTTTTTTCCTTTTTTTCCTTTTTTTCCTTTTTTCCTTTTTCATTTTTTTTTCTCCTTTTTCTAAATGGAATTCATTTTCATAATTTTAGTTAATTTGCATACTAAGAGAATATAATTCAATATAAAATAACAAAATTGCGGTTTAAATTATTATTATTATCATTATTATTATTATTATTATTATTGCATTTTTTTTTTATTATTTATATTCTGTTTCGTTTATTTTTTATTCCCTCCTCTGTCTCTCTCTCTCATTCTTTTTCTCAAAGGACGTAGACGATGGTGTTTTTTGTCACTTTAAAATTTTCCATTTTTTTTTCACACTCTCTTTCTCTTTAACGCTCTCTCTCTCTTTTTTTTTTCCGGAAAATTTTTACTAATTTCTTTTTGACGTAAAAAATGTTACGATGATGATGATGATGATGATGATGATAGTTACCTTGAATTTCGTGATGGAGGGGATTTTTTTTTTTTATTTTAAACCCAAAAATCCTTTCGTAATTTTCATTTCTTTTTTTTTTTCTACAGTTGTCGTCATTGCTTTCATTATCATTAACGTTATTATTATTATTATTATTATTATTATTATTATTATTATTATTATTATTATTAATATTAATTTTGTAATTTTTTTTTAAAGAAGGAATGATGAGAAGGGATCGCGTGGGGCGGGGGAAAGGGGAAAAGCCGAGCGGATATAATAAAAATTTAAATTATTCGTTTTATTAACCCGAACATTAGGAGGATGAGGAGAGGAGAAGGAAGGGCTCAAAGGAAATTTACATAAATAAACGCATTTAATCTTTAATATGAACGAAATTGATGCTGATGATGATGATTATGATGACGATGACGACGATGAGAGCACGACAGCAAGAGTGCTTTAAATTAATTTTTTTTTTTTTAGTTTTTCCGACGCGGAAAAAAAAAAATCTGAGGGGTTTATTTATTTAAAAAATCGAAATCGATATTTTAAATAAATTTATGGCTCCCGGATAAAATGACAACTTTAAGTCTCGAGAAAAAAAAAAAAAAAAAATTTCGTGTTTCGATTTCGATAAAAACCTCAAAAAAAAAAAAAAATGAAATAAAATAAAATTTTTGCATAACGTCGAGATTAAAAAAAAAAAAAACAAAAAAAAAAAAAAAAAAAAAAAAACATACGCGGCGTGCTCATTAAATAACGTACGTGTCACTAGAAAAAAAAAAATAAAAAAGGCCTAAAAGAAAACGTCGTGAACGTTAATTTATTAGTTTACTTTGTTTGACAGATTTATTTTCGATGCAAGGTTTTTTTTTTTTCAGAAAAAAATATTTATGCGTATGTGTGCGTGTGTGCGTATGTTTATTAACCGTCATTTCATTCTTCGAATCTCAATCGTTAATAAGAGAGAGACAGAGAGACAGACAGAGAAAGCAGACGACGTATTTTCATTTCGAATTCGCCTTTTTTTCATTATTTTGTTTTTTTTGTTTTCAGCAGGTGAAACGAAAAATCAAAAAAATGAATTAAAAATTGATGGCGTCTTCTTTTAATGGAGGGGTGGGGGTGAGTGACGAGGGGGAAAGGGTAAGGGGGTAAAATATCAGCCGTTCGATAAATATTTTTATAAAAATATGAGAGGAAAAAAAAATTTTTTTTTTGCTTTTTTTTTTTGCTTTTTCCATGACTCGTATCGCAACACAAACTTTTCACTTTCACTCCCATCTTTCTCCCTCCCTCCCCCTTCCCCCCCCGCCAGCCAACCAGAAGCTCAGCAGCCTCTTCAAAAACACCTGTCACGCAACGCGACGTAATATACCTTTAAACGAAAGCAAAAAAAGGAAAAAAAAAAAAGGAAAAAAGGAAGAAAAAAGGAAAAAAATTTTCCTTTTTGTAAAACGTCTAAGAAAATCTTCATTGACATTAAAAATTTTCTTTTTAAAATGTCTGAGTCGGTGTGATTAGGAAATGAGGAATTTGGTAATTTTCTCGAGTCGCGTTCGTTTTCTCTCTCTCTCACTCTCTCTCTCTCTCTTTCTCTTTCTCTTCTTTAACGTGGAAGAAGAAAGGTACGATAAAATTCGTTCGGAATAAATGGTAACAAAACAAACAAAATGTCGTTCTTTTTTTAAACATGATTTTTCTCCTGATGTAAAAATGACGATGACGATGATGATGATAATGATGATCGTTAGTCGTCCGAATAATCGCGAGAGTTGAAAAAAGAAAAAGAATAATAATAATAATAATAATCCGAGCGGAAAAATACTTCCGTGTATATATATATAAATGTTTTTTCAGGCAAAAAAATAAAATGCCCTGTCTACAAAATACTTTTAGCTGTCTGAAAAAGAAGAAGAAAAAGAAGAAGAAAAAAAAAAGAGAGAGTGAGAGAGAGAAAGAGAAAAAAAAAGGTTTTATGATCTTTCCGATTTCGACTCTCTCTCTCTCTCACTCTCTCTCTTTCTTTTTCTTTCTCTCGTCGTGTTTTACGTGTGGTTAGTCGTTTAGAAATTTTTTCTCTTTTTTTTTTTTTCATTCTTCTTTTTGATTTCAATTATTATTATTATTATTATTATTATTATTATTTTGCTCTTTTGTCATTATTATTATTATTATTATTATCAGTATCATTTTTATTTTTATTATTGTGGTTTTTTTTTTTTTTTGCTTTCGTTAAGAATTTGTTGAAAACTCAATTTCATTCCGTTTATTTTCCATTATTATTATTATTATTATTTTCTATCTCTTTTTTTAATTTGGTGCGACTTTCGACTCGGAACAACAAAAAAATTTTCTTTTTTTTCTCAATTTCTTCTGCTTTTGAAAGGAATGAAATGAATGAAATGATTTCATCGTTTACATAAGTGTTTGAGTGAATGAATGAATGGCGGAAAATTTTTTTTTTCTCTCTCTCTTCTCTTTCGTTTTCTTGTGACGTTTAATTGAATTTTTTTAAAATACTTATTTGTTAACATTTGACAACCGGAAGGAAGTAAAAAAAAAAAAAAATTATTAAATCATAACCTCGGTTACCGGAAGTAACCTGCGATCGGAAGCGGAAGCGGAAGAAGGGAAGGTGGAAAATTTAAATTTTTTTTTTTTTTTTTTTTTTTCAATTTCATTTCCGAGTGCGTAAAAAAAAAAAACGTTTACCCCCGTGCGCGTGAGTTTGTGTAATAAAATCTCCCTGCCGGACAAACAACAACAACAAACAAACAAACAAATGAAGGAACAAACGAACGAACAAAATTAAAAATCGTTTTTGTTATTTACGAAACCTTTTTTTTTTCCGTTCTCTCTTCCCCTTTCTCTTTCTCTCATTCTTTCTCCCCGTGGTTTAAATGAAAACGTTTTACCCCTTGTTATTTCAACCCCTGTTGCTTAAAAAAGATTTATGTTTAAAGATACAACAACCCTTGCGGGTTATGTTAAATCAGATAAATCCTTTTCTCCTTACTTATATAATGTTTTTTTTTTATTTTTTTTTTTACAGGAAGTTCAAATTTTAAAAGCTTTGGTATTGGGAGAAGAGGAACGGGGTCAAAGTCAATATCAGGTCATGTGTTTCGTTCATCATTTCAACAAAGATGATTACATATCGTCGGATGCCATGTCGAAATTAAGACAAGTGAGTAAAAGTTTTTTCTTTCCCCCCCCTCCCCCCGTGTGTTTTCACTACGACGACGACGATGATGATGATGATAACGAACGATTGAGGATTTCAAAAATGTCTGTTAAAATTTTTATTTTTAATTTCGAACGAGAGAGAAAAAAAAAAAGTTAAACGTAAAAATGGTTTGTTATTGTTATTGTTATTGTCGTCGTTGTCGTTCTCGTCGTCGTCGTCGTCGTCGTCGTTGGTTTTTTCATTTATTTTTAAATTGAAAGCAATAAAACCGCAAAATTTCCAGTCGTAATTCATTTTTAGACGTTTTTAATTTTCTCTACTTTACCCGTTTTATAAATATTTTGCTAAATAAAAAAAAAATTTTTATCAAAATTTGTAACCGTAAAAAACAAAAAAAAAAAAAAAACATCTCGAAATAATTATTTTCCAAAACGTTTCGTATATTAAATTAGATACATATATATGTTTACATTTGGCTTATTATTATTATTATTATCTTGTTTTTAATTAATCGAATTATTTAGTATCGATTATTCGCTTTGTTGTATTAATTATTTATATATACGCCATGTTTCTTTATCAAAGAGATCATAGATGATGGGATTATATTTGTTTTTTTTGTTTTTCTTCCCCCCCCCCCAGAAAAATCCAGGTACGATAAGAATTCCGGAAGAGGATAGAGGACGAGAAAATTACACGATGAGTCATTTTATTGATTTGCATCAGAGCGATGTCATATCGGAACATGTGAGCACTTTGTGCGGTGAAGCAAAAGATGCCACATACACGAGAGAATCGGATTTGCACAAGTGGGCAAACATTCCAGGTAAGATAAAATCCGTGAGCCATTTTTTTTTTTTTTTTTATTTGTCATTTATATGTCTCTTTTATTTCCCTCTCTCTCTCTCACTCTTGCGGCAAACAATAAAATCCGACGGGTCAAAGGTAAAATAAAAATTTTTTCTCTCTCTCTCTCTCTTCCCTCCTTTCTTCCTTGGATTAAATCGTTACGAAATCGAGTTTACTCGAAGCGAAAAATATCATATTATCTGTAAACTGTCACCCCTTTTTATGAAAGAGAGAGAGAGAGAGAGAGAGAGAATGACAGAGAAAGGGAAGAGATAGAGAGAGAAAGAAAGACAAAATATCTCCGGGTGAAATGAAATTATTATTTTATTGTAATTAAAATTTGAGAAAAGAAAGGGGAAGGGAAAAAAAGGTTGATGCTGGCGGTGGTGGTGGTGGAGATGGAGTTGAGGGTAGGAAGGAAGTGAGGTGGAAAAGGACGCAGAAACACTGGAAAAAGGCAAACATGACATTTTGAATTATGAAAAAAGGAAAATAATCTAAATAATCTAAAAAATAATAATAATAATAATTTTTTTTTGAAAAATGGCAACAAAAAAAAGGTTCGAACGAATTTAACCCTTAAATTGTTTGTTCCGCGGTTTAACTTTTTTTTTTTTTTTTTTTGAAAATTTTAAATACGGGGTTGATAAATTTTGTTTCGTTTTGTTATTGTTCATACAACGCGGAACGACAACAGCCAAAAAAAAAAAAAAAACAACGACAAACAAACAAACAAACAAGCAAAAAAAAAAAATGATAACGAATATAATAATAATAATAATAACAACTTTCTCCGGTTCTCGTAAATTTTTTTTTTATTTTTTTTTTTCAACTTTCAAAGGGCAAAAATGATAATGTCGACGAATTATCGTTAACGCATTATTTATCAACCGTGTCGTTTTATCATTATTATCATCATCATTATTATTATCATTATTATCATTATTAATAAATTTTATACATTGTGCAGACTTCTTTCTTTTTCCCCCCCCCCCCCACGTTCGGAAATAAATAAATGAAACAGATTTTAAAATGAAACGACAATTTTATTTATTTTTTTTGACGCAAATAAAAAAAAAAAAAGAAAAAAAGGAAAAAAGGAGAAGAAAAGAAAAGAAAGGAAAAAAGGGGAAAAAAAAGGATTGGGAATGGGGGTTTGTAAAAATTAAAAAGTTCCAAAAAAAAAAAAAAAAAAAAAAAAAAACTAATTTATTTCCGTTCCTGTCCTTCCTGACTTTCTCCCGCTTGGGTTTTTTTTTTTTATATTTTTTTTTAGGATGTGTATTTTATACTACCAAGCTTCCCGTCCCTCCTTCCTTCTTCCCCTCTTTCCCTTTACTCTTCTCTCTCCCCTCCTCTCCTCCTCACTCCATTTTTTTTTTTTTTTTATATTTTTAATACCGTGTCAAAATTGGCACTGAATTTTTAATTTTTTTTTTTTTTTTTTTTATATTCAAGAGCTCTGGAGTAGAATATTAAACATAAATCTTAAGCCGGGGGGGGGGCGGAGAGAAAGAGAGAGAGAGAGAGATAGAAAAAAAAAAATTATAAATCAAATTTTAAATGGAAAGTTTTATATGAGAGAAAAGGGAAAGAAGAAGAAGAAGGGATTAGGAGAGGGGGAGGAGGGGAGAGGTGGAGAAGGAGGAGGAGACCGAGTGTGTTTAAATTGCCCTATTAAAAACCCACTTTCAATCATTGAATGAAATTTATTACTAAATAAATTTGCAACGGCAAAAATTGCTGTTGCCGTCGCCACCGCCGCCGCGTCAAAATCAATTTATTTACGTTATAATAGAAAGAAAAAAAATTTTTTTTATTATTACAAATTATTATTATTATTATTATTATTATTATTTGTGTGCGCGTTTGTTTGTTTGTTTGTTTGTTTGTTTGTGTTTTTTTTTGGCGAAAAAAATTTTCTTTTTTAGCAAAAAAAAAAAAAATGCTTTTTCTTTTTCTATTTTTCCATGTTTTTTTTTTGTTTGTGTAAATATTTATTTTTTTGGCTCGTAGCAGAAGACGATATCGAAATAATAATGATGATAATGATAATGATGATGATGATGATAATGATAATGATAAAAAGAAAAAATTTTCCGTCGGGAAAACAATGGTGCGAAAAGAGAGAAAAAAATGAAAAAAAGGAAAAAATTTATTAAATTATTTTTAAATACGCGTGCTTCGTTTTTTTTTTTTTTCTCGTTTGTTATGCTTGTTTGTTGTGCTTGTTTGTTTGTTTGTTGGTTTTTTTTTTTTTTATATAATTACAACTTTCGGTTAATTACACTAATAATTCTCTTTCTCTCTCTTTCTCTCTCTCGTACCTGGTTTGAGTGGGAAAGAAAAAAAAATGGGGGGGAGAGAAAAAAACTCATTTTCTTAACTTGAGTTATTTGCACGCGAATTTTAAGATTTTTTTTTTTTTCTTTTTTTTTTTTTTCATAATTTATTAGTTTTGGGCAAGAAAAAAAAAAAACTAATACCAACGAGATTAACTTGAACAGGGGAAGGGGAGAAAGGGAGGAGGGGGGTAAATAATAATAATAATAATAATAATAGTATAACGTTCGACTAGTTTAATTTTATTAAACTAAATTTATTTTTCTAAGAAAAAAAAAGTTTCGAATTTTTATTTGCATATTTGAAAAACATTATTATGTTGTTAACTTTATTCATACCCTCCCCCTCCCTCTCTCTCTCTCTCTCTCTCTTTCATTTTACAAAATGGCGTAGAAAAATTTATAAGGAAAATGCAAAATGCAAAAAAAAAGAAAATTATATTAATAACGGATCGAATAAGGAAAAACGTGGTGGTGCGATCGATCGATATGTGTTACCAAAGCCAATTTTTTTTTTTTTTTTTTTAATTTTCAAAAGTTGTCAGCATTTACTATGAAGTAATAAGATCTCTTTAAGATCTAGGTAAACCTCGACATGACGATGACGACATGAGAAAAAAAAACATTGGGAACCATTCGAATTTTTTCCTTCGTCTTTTCTTTTTTTTTTCTTTTTCTCTTTTCTTTTCTCTTTTCTTTTCTTTTCTCTTTTCTTTTCTTTTCTCTTTTCTTTTCTCTTTTCTTTTCTTTTCTCTTTTCTTTTCTCTTTTCTTTTCTTTTCTTTTCTCTTTTCTTTTTTTTTTATACATAAAGTTTTAAAGAATTATGTGATGGCGTCAAAAATGGAATGGATGAGCACAATAACTTTTTTTTTTTAAAAAAAAAAAAAAAAGACAAGGTTTACGACGAGAAAGACCCAAAAAGTTTTTTAATTAAAATTATGGTGGATATAAAATGAAAACTTTGTCGTTTTTTTTTTTTTTTTTCTAAAATGTTAAACTCGAGTTTTTTTTTTATTCGGATTAATTTTTATCAATCGAATTATTATTTTAAAAAAAAAATTTTTTTACTCCAGAAAGAGAGAAAGAGAGTCAAATCTTATCCTTCGCCGACGACCCTACCTAATCCTCCCCCTTCCTCTTTTTAATTTAAAAAAAAAAATCCTTTTCACCGGAAAGAGGTGGTAGTAGTAATAATAATAATAATAATAATATTACGAAAGCAATAATTATTTTGGATTAAAAGAAATTATTTGTTTGGAGGGAAAAAACCGGGGAGGGAAGGGGAGAAAAACGGGGGAAGGAAGTTTCGGATTTTTTTCTTCATTTCGGAGTAGAAGCGGAAAAAACGAAATTGAATTTTTTTTTTTTTTTATTTCTTCTGCTTTTTTTTTTCCTTGTTCTTCTCTTTCACTCTGTTTTATTTTTTTTTTCGGTTGCGTAGCCATGCACAGGTTTTTCTCTCTCTCTCTCTCTTTCGTGAAAATTTGCTACGGGAAAAAATTTTTGCAAGATTCCAGTGGAGAAAGAGAGCGAGAGAGAGAGAGAGAGAGAGAGAAAGGAATTTTTTTTTTTTTGCTTTTGAAGTCACGGTTGATCGAACTCTCACAAATTACTTTTAACGGTTCCATTCATTCATTCTTTCTCTTCTTCTTTTTTCTCTTCTTTTTCTTTTTTCCTTCTGGAACGTTGAAATAATAAATTTTACGGGTGGAGAATCGAAGAAATTAAATAGCAAAACTTTGAACTTTTTTAAACTTTCGTGTATAAAAGTGATAAAAAAAAAAAGAAAAAAATTTTCTTATTTTTTTTTTTTTTTGAAAGTTATTGACCGGAAACAAGATTTTCCCGGTTCGCTCCTCCTTTTATATTTTTTCCCTCTTTCTCTTTTTTTTTCTTTTTCCACTTCCTCCTCCTCCTCCTTCTTTTTCTCCTCCTCTTCATTCCCGAGGGATTTTTTTTTTTTTTTTTTTTTGACTAAGATTTGTCAGAATTCTTTTTCTCTCTTTGTCGTTGCATGTTTCCCTTCCGTTTCCGTTTAATGAAAAAAAAAAAAAAAACTTGAAACAAATTTTATTTTTTAATCGGATGGTTCGATTCGCACCTGAACACCACCGCACCCCCCGTCTCCCTCTCCCAGAAATCTATTTAAAAAATTTTCCTCTTGACAAATGATTTTTTGACTGACGTTTGTTTTCAATTGGGAAAAAAAAAATTGCGCTGGAAAAACGAAATGGGTGGAAAAATGAAAAAAAAGGAAAGGTAACAAGAAAACGTAATTGAAATTATTATTATTATTATTTTCAAACGCTGGAGAAGTTCATTAAATTTTTTTTTTTCAGATTCCATTTTTTTTTTTTTTTTGTGTTGCTTGCGGCGGCTTCGACTTTAATCTCTGACGGGGGTTTTAATAAAAAAATTATTAATTGTTTTTTTTTTTTTTTTAATAGAAATTTTTTAATCTCTCACGCGCTGTGGTGGTGCGTAGTAAAAGGGAGAAGAAGTGAGGGTCGAGGGAAAAGAGGGGGTCGAAAGCCTCCCCGTATAAAAAAAAAATTATTCCTTTTGTGTGTGTATAATTTTTCGTCGTCAACGTCCGTTGTCGTATTTGTTGTTGACCGTTAATAAACTAATTT